CTTGCTATAGCCCTGCATTAGTGCTGCAGTATATTTAGAAAATAAATCAAATAAATTAAGTTGACAGTGTCCTGCAATGCTTTCTGAGCAAAGCTTCAGTAACAGAGAATTGAACACTTAAAGAATAACCTGCTGCCGCTGGCCAATCAGACTGGTGTTCCATTTAACGATAACTTCATTTTCACATGACTTGGTTAGAGCATTATGAAAACAAAGGCTTACAATAGACTTTTTTTTTTACTAGTTTGGGGAAAGCCAAGTTCTGTTGCAAGACCAGCTTATTGCATCGAGGTTAATAGCACCAAGAGAAATAATATGAATGAAAACTAAAAATGATGTCAAAAACTTCATCATATTGTCATGAGGCATTTCAGGTGTGATAGCTAGGGGCTCAAAGCTATCTTTAAAACAAGAAAGAATATCCAACGCGAATGACTGCTTACCTACGAGGTCGTTGTGAAGTCACAGCTTTGTCTATTTGAGATAAAAAAGATGGTGCTGAGAATGGAAACAACGCACGACCCGATGCTTTCTTTTAGGATGAATGGCTTGCCTTCCAATAGTATGTACATTGTCTTTCAAATAAATGTTCTAAAAAGTTGCCCACAAATACGCCACACAAACTTTGAAAATGGGCACAGGCTAATGCATTCTTACACAGTAATTAACAGTTGGTCATGAGGAATAGAATGATACAAGTCTTTAACATTGTCAGGGGTGGCACAGGGTACATGGATTTGGGAGCAGTCCTGGGAGCAGGCAAAAGTGCTTTTAGTAACAGGTTTGGAGCAGCCAGAAACACGTTTTGGAGCCGGCTTGGAGCAGCCAGGATGACCTTTCAGAGCAAGTTTAGAGCAGTAGGAACATTAAAAGCAGATTCAAGCACTTGTCAAGAAACATTTACTGCACTTTTCAAACACTCAGTAAAATTGTGCAATAGCCTCATTATTCTGATAGAAATTGTATGGAAACTCCTGGTGGGTTTTTGCCGTCGCCATGTCCTATATAAATTAAAAATTGATACCATACCGCAGCGCATCGTATGTTGTATCCGTGGGTAAAGGCATGCGAGCAATAACGACGAACACAGTTGAAGCAGAGATCGAACAATCCGGCCCCTCTCCGGCGCTCGGAGGGTGCGTGCGATAACATCCGATACCCCCGCCCAGAAGGCTCGTAGTCGAAGCAGAGAAAAAGAGCATGGAAAAAAAAAAGAAGGAGGGGGTGCCACTTGAGCAACAACTATTAACCTTGCTTTCAAGGGTGTGGTCGCGATCGCTCGCAAACTATGTCGGCAGTCATTAGCGGGCGGCTCGCAGGCATTTCTACGTCCTGAACTCTCATCCCAAGGAGACTATGAGAAAAGTGCTGCTCTCCTTGAAGTGGCTATTTTCTACACCAGCATTCTAGACAGTTACCTGACATCATATCCCAGAAAGCTAGATGCCAGCCTCACTTCTTAAGCACAGCAATTTGCTCCTACCGCATTCATTGCTTCACTCTTGCAGTGCAACTGTCACTCATCATCCGCCGAGCCGATGAACGCGAAGCATAGTGGGCAAATGAACGAGAACATGCAGATACGTTCAATGAGCAATCATGTGCACCTGTATCCACAGTTTCGCCGGAATGGCGAAGGAATGAATGCAGCCAACGATCGAATATTGCGCAACTCTGCTAAGAGAATACAGCCATGCCAAAGAGAGATGCTCTTCCAATAAGAGCGCAGCCCGTAAAAGGGTTCACGAGCCATTCTTGCTGATGGCTGCCCTGATCACGATCACGCCCTCGGGATCAATGTTCCCAGCTGCTCCTGGAGCCCAACTATAACCATTTCAAAGAAACCAAAAAGACAATGTTTCAGCCAGGTTCCCGAGCCCGGCGCTTGATGGCTTAAGTTCTGCTAACTTTGCTGCTAAATTCTGGTGCTAAGGCGCAGTAGGGAGTTGACAGGTGAGTTTGGCGATCAATGGCACAAATGGTGCAGCTGTTCCTCCCCTGCATCGTGGGGATAAGAGGCATGCTATCGGCAATTGCGTGGGCATTTCTGCCATACTGCCACTCTCTCTTGCCTTCTCCCATGCTCTTGGGTTGGCACATGGTGATAGATGGTGCCACACGAGCGCTGCGCATGGCCTCGAGCAGAGAGAGTTGGCCAGAATGAGTCACGTGTGCGCCGGGGACGCTTTATCTTCCTTCTCGAATAGAACACTGTAAGCAAATGTTTTCATTCCCACCCCATCCCCTTTAGGAATCGCCGCACTGTAGCCTGCATGGGTGCCTTGGCATTCTCGACGGGCATGTTTACCAGCTCCCGGTTCTGTATGATCCACGCCTAGTGCTCATGCATGGTCGTACTACGCTGAGCCACACTTTCCAGAAGCCTCCACGTGCAAGATTTGCTCTAGCTCTCGCGACCCGATTTAGTGGTCACCGTAAGACTGTGCCGCACAGCTTTTAGGTACCTTATCCCGAGGGACTTGTCAAAAATCGCCATTGCCAGCTGTGTGCGTGCGGGAGGCCTTCGATCTTCATTCCCCAGGAGTGGACATACTGTGTTTGGGGTGCTGCTAAAAAGCAATAAAGTGTTTGTGTGTGTGTTGTCAGATTTAACACTGTCTGTTTCGCCGCTCGGCACTAAATTCTTTGCTAATTGAGTGCGTGAGGAGCAATGCGCTATATGGCCTATACTTCAGCAGCCAAACGTACACACAACTCTGTGGCTCGCTAAGCCTGAGCCCGCGATAATCTTGACTATGATGAGTATCACACCATCTATCGAAAAGCCCTATTAACCAAGGGTACAATATACCTTCCTCTTGATTTCTTACAATGAAAGGATCATCATGTGCTGTGCGTGTGCGTCTCTTTTTTTGTGTCCTTGTCGTGGTGCGCTATACCCTTATAAATGATGAATTAATCATCAGTTCCTCCAGGTGGTCCTGTTATGTATTCCACTCAGACACAATAACAGAAAATGGTTTGTAAGGTTTATTTGTTTTATGCATCGAAAAAAAAAACTGAAAAGATCCTGTTCACTGTTATTAACATCAATAACTACATGAGAAAGGTTTAAATTCTTGGATAACTATTTAGCTTTACATTTATCCTTGATTGATATGTGAAGGTTTAACACCCCAAAACCACCATATGATTATGAGAGATGCCGTAGTGGAGGGCTTCAGAAATTTTGACCACCTGGGGTTTTTTAAAGTGTAGCCAAATCTGAGCACATGGGCCTACAGCATTTTTGCCTCCATCCCAGCAGTAGCCGCAGACGGGATTCGATCCCACAACCTGCGATTCAGCAGCCGAATACGTTAACCACTAGACCACCGCAGCGGGTATTTTTTTTAGATTTATCCTTGGAAATAGACTTCATCCTGAGGCTTACAGCTTCAAGGGCTTTCGTCTGGAACAACAAGCCCAAGGACCAAACCGCGGATTCTCCCTTTATGGGCAGGAACCAGAGCAAGAGAGTGGCCACTGAGGAATGCGTCCACCCACATCATAAGGATCTGGAGTCGGGCTGGTTTGCTGCGAGAGATGGCGTCAACTCTTTTGGAAATGCAGCTCCTTTTCTGGAACGCAGCATGACACATGTTATACTAGAGCAAGTAGTTGGGGAGCTGACGTCTTTGGCTCAACAGCAAATTTGGGACCAAGACTGAGAGTTCGTAGGACGTCTGGAGGCACATGGATATGATCAAGCACATGCACTGAAGGTTTCTTAGCTGTAAGTTTTTTTCTTCACTACGGTGGAGCGTAGCAAAGAAAACTGTTGTGCCCAAAGGAATCTTATAGTTTGAATAGCAATGCGCTGGAAATCAAGTCTTTTCATGGCCGCAGATTCATTGACACCAGCAAAAATAAAGAGAAGAGAACTAGTATTGTCTCTGCAGACTGATTTGTATATTCCATTCCCCTTTCAGAATTTGGCAAACTCTGAGCCCATGTTCCACGGAAGGCGCATGGAATTCTCAGAGTTTACATTCCTGGTCAGAATGTCTTTCACAAACCACAGCAGTTGGTGCGTCCAACCACTTATTTCTTCTGTTCCAATCTGTGAGGCAAGCTTTATCAGATGTGGTTGTGAACAACGATATGCGCTGTTTGTTCGAGCTGCAAGGACTTGTGTAGAAATATTCAAGACAAGTGCTTTCCTCATGTTGTGTTGGCTTTGATATTCTCGAACATTCACCTCATAGTTGCCGTAGTCACAGGCAGCACAGAAACACTACGACAACTTACTCAACCTTGGACGACATGAACAGTAAGCACCCAACCAGGTTTAAACACTGAAATCACGAGCACGTAAATTGACGCAACCACTGCAAATCTGCGGTCCAAAGCAGACGACATGCAATGTTGGCACCCACACACTTGGCAGTCACTGGGGGCATTCATCCTAATTGGCGCCACCCTCCTCCACTGAAAAGAGCTAGCGAACGGCACACTAGCCAGTATATTCTAGGCACTATACCATTAGCATTCAAAAAGTGCCATTTTATAACATTGAGCCATGTTGCACATCTATTTGAAAGATGTGGTGGAAGGTTAGGGAGGAGAGAATGACCACCAGACACAGCTGCTGTGCTAGCTGGTGCACAGCTACTGGGAATGTAACCTTGTGCCACATCTGTCAAGTAGCTAGCCCAACACAGCATGCTGTGCAACATTCTGGTAACACTCCTCAATTGACAATATTTCATACCCTGAATTAACATTTAGTTGCATATCCATTTACAGTAATTAGCACCAGTCACATTCAGTGTTCCACAAACTAAGCCACATCAATAGCATTTTCCTTCTTAGTTCCAGCTTCCGACTGAAGCATAACCTGTGCTTCAGTCTTTCTAAAAATGCTCGCCAGTCGACTGTTGGTTATAAATGTCAATCAACCTCCGTATGAGGCACAAAGTAACGAAGAATGGCTGTAGCTACAGTACTACACACAAAGAAGCACTTGCAAACAATGGCAGAAGGCATGCAAGACACACCTTGTCCCGAACAATGCGAACCAGGATATGTCCTTGAGCTTGAGCGGCTTCTGCTTCCAAGAGGCGCTCTTCTATCCAAATGGACTTGAGCTTTTCGGCCATCATGCGTGGAGTGTCACCCTGCATCATCAAGGTTCTCCTTACAAGTGTTTGCCATTTGCAATAACAAGCCTTTTCAAGCCCTACCTGTCTGGAGCACTGACTGTTGGCACAAATCCTTTACTTAAAAATTTACATTCGTTGAAGAACTGTTGCTCATACTCACTGATGTGGAGAGGCCAAACACAGCCGAGAGGCTACTTACTATCTCACAGCAGCCTGGTTGTGTGCGAGCAAAAATGTCATATCACATCAAATACCCTCCTGGATAGGCACCAGGACAGGCTCTAGGATTGGCAGCACAATGCAAGTTGCTCTGCTTGTCAGTTCACAACACAGTCGTACATGCCAGGAGACTGGTATCAAGTCCAAGCACAGCTCGGCAAAAAGTGTCAAGTTCACTGAGGCTCACTTGCGCGATATATTTTGCCGTAACGGCCGACTCAAACTCACCAAAGCACAGGTCGGCATAAAATCTGGACAGGCTCACTCATGAAAAAATTGAGGGACCCTTAAGCTTCGCCTTTAGGAGTTGAAAGCGATAAAGACATTCTGTTCCTAGTGCGTACTTCAAACATTTAGTGTTAAAATCTTTTTGAACTTGCTATGCACCCACTACCTTGCCTTAACGGCCTCAGTCCCTGGGTAACCTGTCGGGTACGGTTGTTTTAAAGGCTACAGATCAGCACAGTTCGATATTAACGTGTCCAATTTTGTATTGGCAAAATAAGGACATGGCTACCGAGATTGCGGGCACACGGTGGATTTCTCTCCGGCCGTTCCAATCGCACAGAGGGCGCGTTTCCAAAAGGGGGCGTGGCCCACTCTTTTCTCCACACCGCTGCACTCTTTCTTTCAGTCGAAAAGGCTGCTACGTTGTTGGCGAAGCTTTTATGTGGCAATAAAGAAATGGTTTTGCGCTCTTATATAGCTTTGTGTTCGTTTGGAAATGTCGAGTCGAGGAGTCAAAGTCAATGCTCGGGCCTTTTATTTTCAAATGGGGTATTTATTTTGCTGTAGATTGGTGCCACTTATATTAGAGCAGTTGTAATTGCGATGCCTCTGCAACTATACTTCAAAGTTCGTCGGCTGTATAGAAGAGGGGGGGGCACCGGCGAACAAGAAAGAAAAACGGGAGCCCAATCCGCAAGCGAGGTCAGGCGACTGCAGCGTTCTACGTACATAGATTACTTTTTACACTCGATTGAATGGATTCTTCTTGCTCTCATTGAACTAGCGCTGCTTTTCATTGTAACGCTGTTTGAGAATTCTCGCAGGCACCCTAATGAGATCACAGCTGCGCCACGACGTGGTTTTCTTAGAAGTGTTATTCGCGTCTTAGACTGGCATACCCGCCGTCCAGCTGTGCTCGCCACAACTGGTCTTCTCGATAGATGAGGCACGTTCAGTGGGACTTGTCAACGACAATCAAAACACTGTTCGGCGCGCGAGAGAATGATTAGTGGGGTGAAGCGTCCATCCATCCGTCCGTTCGTCCGTGCATTAGTATGTCCATGCGTCCGTCAACTCCTATAACACTACAGCATACATCGGACGGACGGACGCTTTGCCCCACTCAACATATCATTCACTTCGTGGATATGCTGGCTATGCTGGATAGAAGGATGACCGACCAGGTAATGCTGTAAAAAAAATTTGTTTCTGAAAGCAATAAAACCATGTCGTGCTGCATGTCACTGCTGTGATTAAGTCAGCGTGCTTGTAATAATTCTCTAAACCGCGTTCAACCTAAATCAGGGGTAGTTCCACGAAAAGAACAATAAAGTGACCCATTTATTTGCGTGTAACCCGTGATCGCAGAATGCGGCATTCTGATTTCACTTGTGGATCAGGCTGTCAGTTTTTATTAAATGTGGAGCATTTTACAGTCACACCTACTCGCGAATTCGACTGTGCATGCTGGCATCTTGTGATCAAGTTTTTTTGCCTGACGTGCAGAAGGGCACGCAGCAGCAAGACATATTCCTGAAATTAAATGAAAGAAACAAGACCTTGTGTCACTTTCACTAACATGGAAAAACTACACCATTGACATAGTATGAACTGTATAAACCGTAACCAGTCGGCAACTTAATGAATAAATCACTACTATTGAATCACAATTCCGTTTTGACTTTCACTCCAAAATTTTTTCTCCTCTATGCAGAATGCCAGCAACGCATGCACGCAGTGTAACCATGTGAACGCCCCAGCATGAGTGCGTTACGAAGAAATAACACCCGCTGGAGAGGAACGGTTGCTGAGCCGACCAAACTCTACGCTCAGCATCAGCAACTGCCTTGCTCTCTCTACGCTATGTGCTAAAGCCGTCAAGTCTGGCGCGAAAGCCGTGCTCTCAAAGCGTACAGCGCTTTGCACTCGCCCATGAAGCTTCCCCAGTTTTTCTTTCCAACTACATCCTGTCTCGCCCCTGAAGCAGGAGGCAGGAAGGAGGTATAGACTACGTCTAGACTGAACGCCACCGGCTCTGTGACGACCACAGGTGTGTTACAGGTGTGCTTTGGTCACTTATGGTCACCTATGCGCACTGCGAGTACAGTGCAGTCCACTTATAACGATATCGAGAAAACCTAAAAATATGATCGTTATAACCGGTGATCGTTATATCTGGACTGCCGCCAAAAAATCGTCGCCGGACGTACCTTTTGTAGCTCCAGGCTTCATTTCGCTATTTTCACCAATTAATAAATATTGTAGATAGTAGGATGTCAAAAACAAGACTTTATTTCTTACTCCGAAGAACGCATCACGGGTTCGCTTAGGAAGAGAGACTGACCGACGGCGGGGTGGGAGCAGTGGGAGGAAGAAAGCACAGCCAGCGGTACACAGCCGGAATGCCAACGAGGCCCCGCCCCGATGCCGCCGCGCCGCTTTGCTTTTCGCTTTTTTTATTTTCTCTCTCTTTCCCGCTTTCGTTCGGCAAGCTACGAGTAGCTTGCCGGCTTGCCGTTGTAGAAGGCGGGGAGCCGCGGAGCGCGGCGCTTTGCTTTTCGCAATATTTTTTTATTTCTCTCAGCCTCTCTGCAGTCGACGCGCGGCGAGGCGCAAAACGTGACACAGCTGGCGCCATCTGTAGCGCGTCGCGCCAACTCGCGACGCTCTCCTCGGCTTTTTGAACGGCCGGGACGCGCTGCCGGCGCTGTGCTGCAGTGGCGGCAGGTACTCGCCTACGCTAACTTTTCGTCTTGTCTCGGCGTAGTTCGTTTCAGAGGAACTTATCAATCTAAATGTTACGATTATTCTGAATGAAACATGCCGTCCACGGCAAACTTTTCATCGTAGTATCCGATATGCGGTGGATAACATATCGTTATATATGGTTTTTTTCCCCATAGCCCCAATGCATAAAATGAGACTGTTAAGTCGACCCATCGTTATAACCGATATATCGTTATATGTGGTATCGTTATAAGTGGACTGCACTGTAATACGGTGTTCATTGAATATGTTGCAGAATGTCAGAATGAACATCAAGATATTTTGCTTGTTGAAGAAGAACGCCGAATGCGTTCAGAGTTTTGTGTATTTGGTATGAAGCACTGCACGTTTTCTCCAGTAGTCTACTTCAACGAATACTTGGTTTCCTGAAAGACGCCATTCGGCGGCATGTGCGACCCTTTGATTTGGATGCAGTAGAAATAACTGTAAATGAGCACAATACTAATATTGCCCTTGTGCTACCAAAACATAATAAAAAAAATTTGCTGATTTCACGTACAGTGGGAATCGATGATATGCGAAGCACGAATGAGAAAGGTTGATATGTGACTTTAAAATCAGCAAAACGTGTGGGGGTGCTGACACCCCCCTGTAGAGTTGTCTGCACCGCGTGGCACACGTGTCTCGCCCCAAGGCTTTATTTTGGTGGTGACCACCGCCGGGCGATAGATGGCGTTGTGTTCGCTTTGAGTACCACTGTTGGTAGAGTGGTAGCGCCGGCGGTGGCCCCTGGCAGAAGGCAGGCTTTGGCGGTGGGTGAGAGTTGAGCGAGCCTCTTCTGCGCGTGGCGGCTGCCGCGAACGGCTGTCTGTAGCGTGGGGCCCCGGTACTCGGCACCGCGGGCTTCGCGCCGGGGTCCCACGTGGAAAGTCAGGCGTTGGCGACGCCGCCTTGGGTATGTGTTAGTGTGTTGGGTGTGTTAGTGTGTTGCATGTGTTAGTGTGTGTTTATCATGTTATTGTGTGTTTAGTGTGTCACTGCGTTATGTTGTTTGTATGGTAGCGTGTTAATTAAAAGTTATGCAACATTCGGCGGACGATATCGTCATCTAAATTAGTTAATAAATGTATGTATTTTGTGTGCTTTGTACGGAACGCGTGTGCTGTGTCCGTTCACTCCAAGAGCGTGGTGTGGCGATGCGCTCGTTCGCCTCGCGGAGACCCCACAAACGTTACGAGGGGGAGGTAAATGATGCGCTACTTGACTTCCGTATCATGACTTCCGTATCATAAACAAAACCCTATAAAAAAATTTTAAGGAGTAAAATGAAAAACTGAGATTGCAGCCCCCTGAAGCACAGTTCTAGAAGTGTTACAAAATAAACGGAGCCAAAATCTGTGCAGTGGTTGCCCAGATATCTGCTCCACGAGGTGAGCATAATGCCAAAAAAAAAAAAAGAATTGAGAAAACTGTGTTTAAAGTTTCAACTTTTCTTTACGTCTCTAAAACACCTAAAAATTATGATCTCAGGTCTGTCTCATGATATTTGGACTTCTCAGGCATTTGGTCTCTGACCAGTGTGCCTTGGTTGCTTTTTTTCCCCCCATAACCTCCTTTTCATGATTTACCAAGAACAAGTATGGATTTCAAACCAAGTTCTTTGTATGAAGAAGTGGTGTGATAGGCACGACAGAAAAGATTGTAATTGAATAAGACCATATACTGAAATTATTATACATATTTCTTGTGCTTAAGTTACAATTAGCATAATTAAGTACTTGATTACAAATAATCACTCAATATTTCTTTATTTGGAGAGAGGTTTATTGCATCAGAAAAAT